CTCTCTCTCTCTCTCTCTCTCTCTCTCGCTCCTCATGGTCGAACACAACGCCAGACCGAATCAACCACCTTTCTACTATCTATTCTCCTACTTGTTGTGTACAGAATATAACCTCCTCCTACCCTGGTTCTCCAAAACTTCTCTATCATCTCCTAAGGAACCGGGCTTGGAAGATCGCAGTAGTTAGGGTTCAACCTTCGTAGCCTTAACAACCTTTGGCGATAAGGCAACCAGCCGGTCCGCCCACAGGCCCACAGTACATTGTACGACACCTGCGCTCAACTCTTGCCAAGTGGTAGATTAACATGCCAACTCTCATGATTCACCAACCAATGAAGTCATGACTGTCTTGTGACTACCATCCAATTGGTCCAACTTTGTACATACGCATTTGCTTGTTCTTAAGTATGCTGTACTAGGTTTGCTCTAAGACTTCTACCTTGGCCCACTCCTTGTCGTGTTCTCTCTCCCTCTCTGGGGGCTCACATGTGGCATTAGTCAGACGGGAATATCGCAGCCTTTTGGCCACCGTCATAACATATTTCAGTGACATGATTCAAAAGGAATGGCACGTATTTGCAAAGGAAAAACCAAAGGCACACGGGCAGGGGGTATGACGTGCTGATTTAGTTTATGGAAGGAAGGACAAGCCATATGATCCGATATGTCAACAAAACTTTCCCATAAGCTAGGATTAGCAGTACGGGCAGAAGCCTTACATACATATGCGGATACATAATCGGACGAGACCACGCCCAAATGTAGCCACGAAAAGGTCGGGGGGGGAGAAAAGAATGAGGAAGCTGGATCTAGGGGATATCCTCTAAGCATCCACGGCCAGGACATGAGCAAAAGCCATGAAGTGGGAGAGTTTTTCATCAACACCGGGTAGGTGCTGGCTGTAGAAGAGCATGCAGGGCATCAGAACCGGCAGAGCGGAACGGTAGACATCGATAAAGCGGTTAAGACGTGGCCGGTTGTAGATGTGGCAGGAGGGTTGACCCAGTTTGGCCTTAAGAAGGAGGATGCTACAGGAGAGGTAAGTTAGGTAGGACTGGCACACATAGTAAATAAACAGATCCCGCATGCTGGTGTGTGCTTGCAGCCAGCGTATTGCACGTTCACTGCAGTCCAGCACCAGGTCCGCATCCTCGTCTGTGTATAAAAAAAAGAAACAAAAGGCGAGTCAAGGCAGCAGAGGCAGCTGCGTTATCCTATAGGAGTCAAGGCTAAGACGGTTAACCTTAGCAGCCACTATCTTTCAGGCCCGGTTCCTTGGGAGATGGGGATAGAAGACGGTGGGAAGGCCAGAGTAGTAGGAACAATATATTGTTTACGGAAGAGTTAGAGGGAAAGTTACCACTCGGTCTTGCATGGCGTTCAAAAGTAAGAGAGCGTGCCGGCATCACGTCCGTCCCTCAGGGGACGGAATCCCAAGTCCCCGTCAGTGCAGCAATTGTCCGAGAGCCGCAGAGCGTTTCAGGACGCTGACTGGCC